TTTAGTATTTCGGCAGACTAAATATCAAATGTCGAAATATTTCTATAAGCTCAAAACAATTTCGGCTAACAACATTAGTCTAGGCCATCTCTAACTCTAAATCTTTAGCTATTAAGAAATGATTGCGTCTGAAGACATCAAGCAAAAAAAATAAATTCGGTATAGATTTTTAATGTGAAAGAATATATAGTTAAATAGTTTTTTTTTTAGATTAAAAAATTTTTGGTTTTTATATAGAAATTTTTGAAAATAAATTAAAAGTTGGGTTGCCAGTTACCTCCGTTAATTCCCAACGGATATTATTATTACAAACTTTACACAAGAAATTAATATTATATGGCCTTATTGAAATACAAATTTTTTTCTGTCGATTTTTATATAACGATAAGTATCATTACCAAATTTCATAGATGTAAACTTATTATTGCTCATAAAAAATGTAATAAGGAATGCAGAACCGTTGCTGTATTGAGGGTCCACCCAACTGATGAAATTCTCGGAGGATAAATCCTCTTATACGGAAAAAACAAATAGTAGAAAGTATGCAATAGCAAATGACAGTTTAATTTTTAAACTTTCTGCTACAGAAAATAAGCCAGTTTATTATGATGGCTGTTCTGGTTCGTCATTCGGTAAAAGAGATCTTTCTTTACAATGTAAATAATCAGTACTAATTTTTCGTTTTCTTAGAGTTAATTTGGTTGTTTACTTTAAAGAGTACTCCGAGAAGAATTTAATAAATATGATTTTATTTGTGGTTTGAAAGTTATTATTGTTTGAATTTAAAAAAGCGGTATACTAGCAAAAAAGATCGAACATGTATACATAGTAACTTCAAATATACCGATTATAACGTATGCAAATTTTAACGATTCTTTATTCTGATCCACTTTAGACATGCATGTAAGTTTGGCTGGAAACTAATTTTTAGTCTAGCCATTAAATAAAAAAAGATTTTCTAAATATAATATATATTTAAGCTCGTTAAACATTCAGATTTAATTTGTAAGTAATTATTAGAGGTCTGAACTAGTGAATAGACGCGAGTTATTCGAGTCTTAAATTACTATTTACTGTATATATTTTATCTCCACTATGAGGGAATGGTTATCAATTACGGCTGTTATAAGTTCTGGGACAGCTGATGGAATTGACCTATGTTGCAAAAATTTGTTAAATTTACCATGTATATATTTTTCCTGTATTTCGTTATGAAGTGGCCATGTATGTGAGATCTGAGTTTGAAACCACAGATCGTGGCTCGAGACCACGTATAATGGTTCGAGACCACGGATCTTGATTTGAGACCAAAGATCCTGGTTTCAGACCACGACCAACGTCTAAACTAGTAAAGCTAGAGAGGCAATTCGAAAGAAACTGCATGTTGTATAATAAATGAAGTAATCACATATTTTGACCTTACCTACCAACTAAAATACATTCCTTAATAACCCACCATTAAATCCGAATCCTTTATATTGTAAAAATCCGTCCCGCATAACAAATGTTTGTAACCCTGAGCTAATTGATATCAAGTTAGCAAATCTCTCCCATGGTTAAAACACCTCAGTCGAATTAGATGCTTGCGTTATTGGTATTTATATTAGACGTCATTTTCAAATAACCGTTGATTAAATAATTGATGTACAGTATGTGAGTTTAAACGATTAAAATGTAAGGTACGTACTGTACGTCAAATTTTAATGCAAGCATTTTAAATATATAAATTTTTTTTTTTTTTTTAAAAAAAAAGAAAGAATAGTTATTTTCCGAAAAAAAAATAACAGACATATAATGAATTGTTCAGAAATACGTCGTTGGCTAGCTGTTTTACAAAATCTGTCAAGTAAACATGAAAACTCTATTGGTTTTTTTTTAAATATATTTAGATTAGTTAAAGTTGGAGTTATCAGTTATCGGACAATTGAACGTTCAATTGGATAACATTACTCGAGTTTGTCCTACTAAAGACATCAGGGTCGGATGTAAATTTGGCATCTTTGACATATAGTTTTCGCCAATGAATTAGAACCGTTAGACACTGATGGCTTTCCCTAACTCCAATGGGCAAACTTATCTTTTATGAAACGCAACAGAGCTTAACGCGACCAACAGAGCCTCTTTAAAATATTTCGAACAAAACATCTAATCAAGAAATGATAAGTAATTTGTCGTAAAAACAATAATCTTTGTGCTTTACTACGTGGGAGGTACATGCAAAAATCATTAGTGTATTATTGTGCTAAATATTCTTGATATTTGAAAAATTTCATGTACTAGCTTAGCATTTTTATCAAAGTGCTTTTTGCTTATTAAAGTAGATTTTAATAGTAAAGGTTAACGTAATTGTAATAAATAAATATTATATCACAATACAATTTGCATGTGGTATTAAAAAAACATGCTCTTAAAATCACGATTGTTTAAAAATGGTTTAATATATCATATTAAATTATACCGATGCAATTCGATTTATCATTAAATAGTATCTATTGATTATTAACACTAATAAAAAAAATAAATTATTGTGAATATCTATCTCGTGTAAGACCTTGAAAGAAGTTCGTTTAAACTTTACAAAAGTTACTGAAATTGACAAGCGTAGTCGAACGATACCTTGCAAAAGTGTATTCATAGCGAAGAGGACTTTGTTGATTTAATCAATCAGTTAAAGGAACATTTAAAGCAACGTGGAAAAGCTTATTTGTGGACGAATAAATATGAAGAATCACTTGCAGATTTAAATAAATCATTAGAAATTGACCCAAATGATGCATTCGCATTGAGAAATCGTGGTGCTGCTTATCGCAAGATGGGAAAATATAAAGAATCACTTGAAGATTTAGATAGATGGTTCTTGATAGACAAATTATTCACTTAAAAATATATATTATAATTTTAACATCTGTAATAAAAATTAAATTAAATCGGTCAAAATATATTTCCTATAACTCTTATAAGTTTTTTCTTACATGTAACGGCGATATTTGTGAGAAATTCGAAATTATAAAGGAATTCGCTTCCTTTATATCTTTGCTGAAGGCAATATGGCATTACGATCCCAATTTTAGAATCCAAGATTTTTTAAAAAAGACTAATTATTTTTTCTGAAACTGAAATTAACCAATTAAAAGCGGTAGTTTCAACTTCAGCTAAATATTAACATCAGCCTTTTAAAACAATAAAAAAGTTTAAAAAACTGTTTAAAACGTTTTTTACCATCCCTAGTAACATCTCTAATTAGGATACGATGTAATTCGTTTTATAATTTAAAGCCAATTTCTAATTGATGGAAATCTGAAGGTGACACATTTATTTCAAAGCATATTCATTACCATATCATTCAAATAATTGAAATTAGTAATAATTATAGCGGTTGAATCTCGAGCAATTTCATATGTTAAAGAATTTCTGTCACTATTATTTTTGGAGTCTAACTTTGTGAATTTTTCTTTTTAGAAACAGTTAAATTTTTTTTGCACAGTATTTAGGGTTGGGGGCACGGAAAATCATCACGTAGGGCACGGCATAACACCCTAAATAATCACATGACACTGATCAGTAAAACATCACATGTAATTAGTAATTTACATTAGAGTTATATATATAATGATTTTTAGATAAAAGGACAAATGAAGTTGTTTTCTCAATAATTACTTGATCGAATATTATAAAAATTATTTATTTTAATTGCATAGTATTGCAGTCAGAGAATATAGCAAATAAGAGCAAATTAGAAAATTCAGTTCTAGAATGATCTGCACTGATTTGATTAGCTTTTGTGTGACTTCTTGCCAGCAGTTTTAGAAAATTTTTTACATGTTTTATTTATTGCTTAAAACTTCTAAATAAAAGAATTAATAGATAGTAGAAAACATGTAGTTTAAATAATCCACAATAATTCACTCTAGTTAACTCTCATAAAAAAAGTAAATAAATCATTAAAAAAGTACTGTATAAACGTGAAATAATGCTCCCCTGCACATTAATTGATTGACTTGTGCATTATTTCGAGTATGTGCATGTGCGTTATTTCGAAATAAGAACTGATTTTCAGAGCCAAATATTTTTAAAATAACATGTATGCACCTGACCTAAATATCTATTATGGCAACCCTATAAAGTTATTGTATAACCTTATATACCGGTATTACTAGTTTTATTTTATACCTCAATAAAACCTTATACACTCACTTGCAGGTTTCACTCTGACACTCATATATATAAACCAGTTAAAAAGCTAATAATTAAACATCGTTACAAACAATACTGCAATTTGTTGATTTTCTCACAAAACTAAAATATCAATATAAAATAGTCTTGATTGAAATGATTACTGTTCAATTTTTTTCTTTTTTTTATAATTTTTTTTTTTTTTTTTTTTAAACACCACTTTTTTTCAATAGTACAAGTATAAAGCCTTTGAATACTCCTAATAACCTTGATAAAATATTCAGACATAGAGAATTGATCTTCTTTAGTATACAGCTCTAGGGTCGTTATAGCTTTAATAGCTCATAAATTAGTTTTACCGATTTTACAATTTTTTTTTCTTTTTTCTGTATCACAAAATCGTCAACTATGAAATTACCCCAGTTCTGTATTTAAATGAAAATATTTATTTTTTTCGCATTTAAACTTTAATTACGTAAACATGTACTCTTCTTCTTCTAAACAAAGTTATATTATTGCATTTAAGCTTGATGTAATATTATATGCAGAAAATACATCCAATCATAAAGCATCATTGTTCTATAAAGTTGCATGGAAATGCGTTCAAGAGTGGAGAAAACAGAAAAATGAATTTAAAGCGATCAGAAATGATCAAAGTATTAATATCAATCAAGTTCATGCTCTTAGTAGTCATGGTAGAAAAGCCAAGTACCCTGAATTGGAGGAAAAATTGTTAGCTTATGTTCAAAATAATGACAAGAAAAAAATGCAATTACCACTTTCATAATCGAACACAAGGCCAAAGAATTTGGAAAAGATTTAAATCTTGAAGATGCTAAGTTTTCTCGTAGTTGGGTTGAATGTTTTAAAAGACGATATAAATTAGTGAATGCACCAGAACACAAGTCATACAAAAGTTTTCCTGAAGACATGCCTTTGGTTGTTAAGGACTTTCTTAAAATATCGCGTGAAAAAACAGTGAATATTGAAAAAAAATTTATTCTTTCTTTTGACGAAACACTGATGTGGTTTGACATGCCCCAAAATACAACAATCAATTTTGAAGGTGTTTGTCAAATGCCAATTAAAACCACAGGGAATGATAAATTGTGCTTTACAGTAGTCTTGGGTTATACTGCATCTGGAAATAAACTTCCACTCACTGTAATTTTTAAATTAAAAAAAATTTAAAAGGTAGATTTTCATGAGATGTTGTAGTAGCAACAGTGCCTTGTGCAAACATAGTGGGCAATTTGATGAAGTCTACATATATTCTACACATTATTCAATCTAGGCCAAATGGATTTTTTAAAAATAAAGAAGTAATATTTGTTGATCATCATCATAGTCATGTCTGAGATGATGTAGTTAAAGTATTTAATATGGAGGGCTTGGATGTTGTTGAGATTCCTGGTGGAATAACATGCGTTTTGCAACCACTCGACGTTTCAGTAAACAAACCTTTTAAGAATGGAATAACCCAAAGATGGGAAAAGTGGATGGACGAAGGAAAAGGTGAGCTTACTGCAAAAGGAAACCACAAAAAAGCCTCATACGAAGTAGTTTGTGAGTGGGTCTCTGAAACATGGAGAGAAATCAGTTCAGATATATTGATTAGATCATTTGAAGCATCTGGACTTACACTTAACCCTGATAGTAGTGAAGATTTTAAAATGTCAAGTTATCTCCAAGCTATTATTGCAAATTGTATGGATGAAGTGATTTTTGATGAAGAGGAACAGAGTAATGAATCTGAGAATTTAGGCAGTGAATCGAGTTCTGAAGATGTGTTGGATAATGATTTCAAAAATATGATGGATACTGATTTGTAAATATGAGTATCAGTTTTGAAGATGCAATAAACACTGATGATTGAGAAGATAATAAAGATATGAAGTTTATAACTTTATAGTATGAATTACTAACAAAAAAACATATTTTTTGATAGCCTACGAATAGCCACATAATGCAATAAACTATATTCTTACAAAATTTGTCAAATAGAGTTTAAGCTAAAAAGGATGATGAAAATATGGCATTATTTTTATTTGACAAAAGAATGATATTATCAATTATAACATATATACTGGTATTTTTTATTTTTTTTTATTTTTTTTTTTTGGTATTAAGGTGACCTCTTTGGTCTGGGGAACTTTTTATTAAAGTATAGATGAAGTTTTATATATAATTACAACGATGGTGCATCAAGCCACACGTGCACCTTTTGAGTGCCTATTTAAGTAGTCTGCCTGAAGGTTCTACACTACCTGCACCCCAACTAGGGGGTACCTATTTAAACCATCTGGTTCTAACTACCTCCATCAGCCCTCTAACCCAATGGGTTTCCTCACTATTCATACGCTAGATT